AACGTTCACTGAGGCAGAAATGGGTTCACCCTACTATAAGTCCTTCTACCCTCAACGCTCAACAATTCTCCAAAACTAAACCACACAAAAGACCAACAATGGCTCAGAACGAGAAGAACTCAGGCAACCAGAATATTGGTTTACATATACCAGATAACGAACGGTTAAAGAGAAGAAGAACTTAACAGTTCAGAGCCCGAAACTGATCGGTTCAAACTGAAGCTCTTGACGCTGGAAGTGCTTCAACGGTGGCTGAACGGAGATCGGAGAAGAGAAAGGATGAGATTTCTTAGAGAGAAGATGAAGGAGATGTAGTGAGAAGGAGGAGAAACTGAGATTTTTCAGAACTGGGAAGAAGGGTGCATGCAGAGAGTGTGACGTGAATTTCTGAAAATCAAGTTTTGCTTCCCACTTCAAAACGAGCGTCCGCTCATCTGCCGACACCTGCCTTCCACTATCAGATTTTCGGATCCTCTTCGCTTGACACCTAGCGTCCGTTCAGAGGGTTTTTGAGTGCATTTTAAATGGTTCTGATATATATATATATATATATATATATATATTACCTATTACTACATATTATATTAGATGGGTCGGTGCAACTTCTAGGTTTTTTAATTCATTTTGATAATAAAATTACAAAACACATAATTTATTTTTCATTTACATTCACACTTACATTTTAGCCGAAACTTTATAAATTTCTTATTTCTAACATAAATATAATATGTCGTTTGATTTCGTGTCAAACAAAGTTAAATGTTGATTTACATATAAGATAACAAAATATTGTGAATGAATTTCATTTGTTATATCCAAAATGCAAATTATAGATGGTTCAAAATAAACTGTCAAGATGTTTGATCACTACTTTCATTAAGAGAGTATTTTAAATCCATATTAGTTTTGTAATGCTCATACTTATCTGCAATTTGAGTACGTAATTTAAATTTAAAATAAATTAAAAATTATGAGTTGAGGTTCGCTTTACTAACGTCAACCACGATGTAAAGAAGATCATTAGTTTGGAAACTACAAATAATACATAAACCCTCAACTAAATAATCATATCATCACTTAAAAAACCATCTACATGCATTTTTTGTTTTAAAATTAATAGTTTAAATAAAAGTTAAAAGGTTATATTTCTAATTTTTATTCCTCACTATAAAAACATTTTAACTAAGTTATAATTAATAGTAAAACAGTAATATTTTATTTTTATCAATCAAAACATTTTTTAAACCAATCAACTCTATTAAATCACTCATTAACTTTTACAAATTTTCATCTCAAATCTCTTCATTTATCATAATCTTCTTCTTAATTCAAACCAGCCCAACTTTAACTCCTTTTCCCCTCAAATCCACCCTTCCAAATCTATCATCAAATAAATTTTTACTCTTAATTATTTATATTAAAAAGTGTGGAATTTTTTTAATTTTTTTTTAATTTATTTACATTATGAAATTTAATTTCGGATACTGTTTTGTGGATAATTTTTTTATAATAAAAAAAAGATAAATATGTAGAACCAAATTATTTACTTTTACCATTTTCACCATTCAAAATATGACACAAATAATTTTAAAAAAAATTAAAGAATTTGTATAATATAACATCTCATTTTAATAGTAAAATACTATTAAAATAAAATATTGCGTATATGATAATGGAACTATTAGATAAAGACAAACCTACAAAAGACAAAATCTACACCTATGTTCGAACTATTTCACCGTCGCTTCCCTCTAGAGCAATGGTAAAGAACATCTTCCTAAGCTCACACCGGTGATCATCGTAAAAAAGAAAATAACAGAGAAAAACAACACAAAAAGCAATGGTAAGCTAGCAATACAAACAATTCATAATACATCAAAACACTTTACACATGATACGTATATCACATCAAATCAACTAAATAGTTTATGCATGACAACCCTTTGACTGACTATCCGGATTAGTATGAATATCGAGTTTTGACAGTTCGTGCACTTGTTGTGGTGAAACAAATGTCTCACCCCAAACTACCACACAAGGTTAGTTCGTTATCACTTGTCTTAGGCCAAGGTAAAGCCCCTAGACTAGGAACTCCTATTATTCTCACAACATGCCTCACCCATCTCTACTTGAGAATATATGACCATTAAAATGTCAGGATGAACTCCAAGACTGAGCTTTTCATATTCATACTTACAATACTTGAAACCACCACTGAGAAGTTCCTCCTTAGAACTTTCTTCCATACCTTTAAAACCATTAAGATCACTTCACATTAGTATACCAATAAATGAGACTACTGATCATACATTAAAGAACTAGAAACACCCTTACAAGTCATTAGAAATCACACAATAACACAATTTTCTTCACAACAACTCGATACTCAGATTAGGCAAGGAAAACAACTTTGAAACCTTCACCAACAGCTCTGAAAGGATCCAAAACCTCCAAAACGTATAAAAAGTGTCAAAAATTGATATTTGAAACCCGAAATTTGAGATTTCAAAAGCCCAAAAGTGGTGTAGTGACGCTCAAGTGAGTTCCTCTCACAAAAAGGGTGCCCAATGGGCACTCAGAGGGGCTTGGGGAGCGCCCAACGTTGCATCAGCTTCTAAAATTCACCTATATTTTGACTTTTGTAACTCTCTACACAAGTTTAAATAGTTTCTACGACCCCTTAGGCACTGAGAAATATCTAAGAAGAGACCTCTACCTCAATGATCACTCTAAACCCCAAACTACACACTTTAGACTACCTAAAACTCAATTCCACCACTCCATACACTAAAACAACAAACTAAATATGGGAGTTCTAAATATGGGAGTTCTAACTTAAAAAAATATTATTATTTTGTGAATGACAACTTAAGAAAAAAATGTTTAACTCAATAAGGATAAATTCTACCCATTTTCGCCTGTATTAGAAAATAAATCACTACTGCGACACTTTTAGCGAAAAATATTTATATATTAGCAAATTTTCTTTATTTAACCTTTTAATTTAAAAGGCTTTTACGATAATAATTACGCAAAAAAAGTACATTCAAAATTTAATAAATGTTTATTATTATAAAAGGCTTTCACAATAATACATAATAATACTAAATATTTATCAACGAATCTTTTAAAACTTTCATACTAACTAAACACAAATATATAATAAAAAAGATACCGAACTTTATTTCTAATCATAAAAGAGCAGAGTAATTGTTTGATAAAATAAGTGGCTACTTAAAAATTATAATTTGAGTAGTAATCTCATTATAAGAAAGTGGCAGAAAAAACAATAGTTAACGCTCATATTTTTAAATAATAAAATACAAATAAATATATTTTAAAATATTGGATGAAATATTACTGACCCACCATTAAATTCTAAATCTTAAACTTAATATTAAATCATACGTTTTTTTAAGAATTTGGTTAAAGTGCATTCTTTTTAAGTTTCTAAGATAAAACAATTAATTTTTGTAATAATAAATTTTATTTGATTTTTTTAGATTTATTTATAATATTTGGGCTTAAAGTGGTAATTTTTAAAAATAAAAATAACAAAATCCAAAAAAGTGTTTTGAGTTTAAAAAAAACATGTATATTCTTCTCCATTCCTTAAGTAAAATATGTTACATTTTAATGTACAATTATACGTATTTTTTTATCTTTGTTTTAAAATATAAACAATATAACCTTTAGATCTTCAGTGTAATTGGTTGGATACCTCCAGCCAAAACCATGAATGATATTGAGGAGGTTTACAAAATTGCAAGGGCTCAAACACTCGTTGCTCTGTGCAATACAGTTCCTGGCTACTGGTTCACCGTGGCTTTCATTGTCAGGTGAGAATGAAGAGGATGTTGGGACCGGTGAAGAATCATAACAATCACATCCTCGTAGCAACGAAACTGTTTCCTAGTAAAAATTAGGTACGGACAAAAATAACTAGTTTAGTTTAGAAAAAATAAATTTATTATATTTTTAGTGCAGTTAATTCACTGAGTTAGATTAATTGAGAATCAAATGATGCAATATCTCTAAAAGAACTATATTAGATTGATTTACGTGATCTTGGATTTAAATAAATAAAATAAATAAGTATTTAAAAATAAATAATTATTTTTAAATATTTATTTTTTTATTTATTTAAATATATATTCACACAAATCAATTTAATGTCATTTTTTTTAGAAACTGCATCATTTGATTCTCAACTAATCTTTAACTTAATCCATTAACTGCATTAAAAATATAATAAGTTCATTTTTTTTCTAAATTTAACTAGTTATTTTTGTCCGTCCCTAGTTTCTACTAGGAAACTGTTTCGTTGCTATGAGACGTGATTGTTCTGATTCTTCACCGGTCCCAACATCCTCTTCATTCTAAACCTGACAATGAAAGCCACCGTGAACCAGTAGCCAGGAACTGTACTGCAAAGAGCAATGAGTGTTTGAGCCCTTGCAATTTTGTAAACCTCCTCAATATCATTCATGGTTTTGGCTGGAGGTATCCAACAAGAATATTGTTTATATTTTAAAACAAAGATAAAAAAATACGTATAATTGTACATTAAAATGTAACATATTTTACTTAAAGAATGGAGAAGAATATACATGTTTTTTTTTTTACTCAAAACACTTTTTTGGATTTTGTTATTTTTATTTTTAAAAATGACCACTTTAAGCCCAAATATTATAAATAAATCTAAAAAAAATCAAATAAAATTTATTATTATAAAAATTAACTGTTTTATAATAATAATTAATCAAATTAATTGTTGCCTTCTCCATGTTCTTGGCTACTAGAGCAGTATAACGGGCAGTTTCTGGCATCTTCATCCGCCAGTAGTAAGTCAATGCCGCTGGGAATGCTCCGACCATCACAATTATCCTCCAAATGTAGTCTGCTTGTACGACTGTTGACCCGCCTGGATCAACCTCATATGCTTGTGATGCTGGACCATCACAAGGAGCGTCTTTTCTAAAGGGCACAGTACCCACAATGTTGGAAGTGATCAGGAACAGCTCAAACAAGTATTACAGATTAAGAGGAATGAAATCATGAGCATGAACGTAAAGCGAAGGAAAACACATGAAACGGATCTTAACTGTCACAAGAAAAAGAACTAAGGACTCGAGAGTAGAATGATAGTCCCGTGATGCATGCATGGAGTGACGCATTAGAAAGATGCATGACAATACGAAAAAAGAATGCAATTTTATATAATAATAATATTAGAGAATGGATGCACCTGCAGTGGAAGAAAGTGGTAGAGCGATAGAGAAAGAGAAAGATTTGAAGTACAATGAAAAGAGAGATGTGGGAAAAAAATGTAAAGAGAGCGAAAGTAATTTATAGGAAGAGAAGGAAGAAAACGTGACATAAAAGCAACACAATACAGTTTCTGAACCAACCTCTCTTACGTCTTTTAGGAGCCGTTAACATTGCGTAGCAGATGGTGCAACATAAAGTGTAAACATGAAAAGAGAATATTGGGAAGTGAGAAGAGCGTGTGAAAGGAGAAGACTTAATGCATCACATGGGGGTTCATGATTCTGCCTATCACTGATCCATATATAGGTATATTGACATCCTACATTGCTTAATGCACAAACTTCCACAGTTACCTTTTGGTGCTTGTAAATGATTTCTTTTTCTCATGGTTGCCATGTTGTTTGTCGTGGAAAAGTATTTTAGAAGTAAAAGTAGGGTTGGAAGTATAGGACTATATGGTTGTGACTGCAAAGCCTGGAAGGCCTAATGGCCTTGTGCACAGCCTTCCCCACTTTTACATTTCCCGTATCTTCTTTGAGTTGCAGATTAAACAGCAGATTTTCCCTATATCTTAGATCAGAAGGGCTTGATACAACTCCTGCCTGCATTGGAATTCATCAAACAGTCAATCAGAATTTCAATTTTTTTTTTCTTTTTACACATAATGGACGGGAAATTATGAGAGACGGATTCAGTGACTTTTTCCCGGAAAAAGTCATGTAAATATAGTTAATTTTCATGTGTTGAATGACCAATTTCAATTTTCCAAAAAAAAAAAAATACAAAAGAAACTAGTTAAAAATTGAACAAAGTTAACTAAAGTTGCATGATTTTTCCCGGAAAAGAAAAGTCACTGTATCCGTTCCCGAAATCATGAGTTTTCATTTACTTCAACACTTAAAACTAAACCTTGAGAAAATCATCCACCACCATTGCAGTTCTTCGTGGATTCAAGGTATTGATAGGAGTTGCTCTCATTTCTTCAGACACGCTGTATAAATGTATAATTGAAAGGAGAGGACCCGCAACCAACTGACAAAAATAGTCTCAAAATTTCATCAGCTGGAATGATCAGACTTCAATACAAGTATAATTATCATTAAGATATGCAACATGATCAATTATATCTCTATAAAGTGAACTAGGAAACAAATACTCGTTTCCTTTTACATTCTGAGCAATGATCCTGAGTGCAATAAATACGACCAATGATTGAAAGGATGGTGGATCCACAAACAACTGACCGAAAAAGTTTCATAATCCACAGTTCGGAATTATAAATAAAACGAATACTTGCATCTAGAAAATGTTTCCTTTAATATTTTGAGTAATGGTTCTAATTGCAAATAAAGAATACATATACACCCTACATGCCCATGACCTCATCAACATTTGATTCCAATCTAGCCTTCTACTGTAACTTTTGGTTTAAATTGCACACGTTAAATTTTCATCACTAGCCATTACTATTTATTCTCTAACTTCTGGTTAAAAATTACATATTAACCTTAGCAATTTAACAAAACAATTATCAATCTACCTCTCTATTGAAGTTCTGGTTTATTTTGCAGGTTATCCCTAAAAGAAAAAGAAAATTAACCTTTGGGGGTTGATGAACGTTAAAATGCTATTTAGCACAATTTATCCTAATAATTTTGACAGCGCCTAAGAATTATAAACCGAGTAGTACCAACTTGCATTGTTAAGAAGATTAAATGAAGACTTAGCCTTCCCTTGGTGCCAGCTGGAATATAATCAAGAAGCTTAATCTTGAGTTCTTTCGGAAGCTCAGTCCAACTTCATGGAAGATCTCTCCTAAAAGTGAATTAATTATGTTCCCCCCTACCCATTTCTATATAAATTAAAATACATTTTATGGGGGGAACGGGTGTTGAAATGGCATGTAATATTGTGATCAACTTCAAAAATTTTCACATAATGTTTATATATTTCAATTCTCAAGCCTTTCAGTAATAACCACGTCCAAGAACATCATCACATACCTTGTTAGCGCAAGCTAATTGCAAGAGTCAGAATCCACAGTTAATAGAACACCGAGGCCCAACAAAGAATAAAAGCTCTATACCTTTCCCTGCATTGATCCGCAGATAGTAGATGCTAATTGAATTCCAACTCCAATTCCTATAACACTAAAGAGAGTTGAGAAAGCCTCCCCTTTAGCAAATAGGTCGCTGAGATTTCCTTCTTTAGCAAATGAAGAATATATGGGCAACCTTGTTGCTCTTGCTGCAACAACTGCTATCCCCTGTTGACTCCACAATAACAGAAAGAGAAGTAAGTTGCCTAAAATAAATAATACTTTCACTCAAAATCCAGAACAGGATGCTAAAATCCCCAAACATGACAAACATAGGGTTGAATGAGCCATTAGATATGAGCCAACTTTATATTGCAAACTCTACCGAAATATTTAATTATTTTTGAAGAACTTAAACCTTTGCAAAATTTCCTAAGCCTGCCACTTCAAGAAAAAGATGTGGGCATAATGGAGAAAGAACTTCTAAGCCAATGCCTATATCATAGAGAACATCAGCTGCAGAAAGTATAAAGCTAATTGTCAGACAACTTGAGAACTTAGCAATTAAGAGCTAACATGATATATCAATGAGAGAAGGCGGTGAAGAAAAGCACCAGCCCACATGCAAACCTAGCAGTCTCCAACGTTTAGGCTCAGAATCCATTCTAGCACCCCAATTGCTACAGATCACCTTCCCCACATGTTGCATTCCATCCTTCAAAATCTGGACATAAGCCAGAGAAAACATCCAGTTCATACATAAAACACATTCCATGGTGACTGCTGATTTGAGAAATTGTCAATTTGAAATTAATATCACATTACCCAACTAACAGCTGTCGCTTGTGCAGGAGTGGGCCGCAACCCTGCAGCAAATAGTAAGGACTGCAGAAGAATAAGCATAGAGACCAAGGATATCCACTTAATTATTTCATGATAATCAATTCATGAAAAAGATTACGTAATACATAATTACAATCAACAAATATTACTAAGTATGAACAAAGGGTACTCTATATCTCAGTTGCCAAGAAAGCAAGTTTGATTTTCCAATGTCAAAGAAAGGAACATTTTCCATTACATCCTTTATGAGTGTTTCATGTTACCGGAAGAAGACCTGAGTTGATAGCACCGATAGCGCTGCCCTGGTAACATGTTGCAGGGCTCGAAACTGTGTGTATCTAAGGTAGCCTTCATTCACACTGGAAGAGAAACACAAAAAAACACTATCACTGAACAAGCTTTCCTAGTTTCTACACCATAAACCATAACATATTTTTAGGAAAAATAAATAAACCTGTATGGATATCCCGAGGGATAAAATTTATTCATGAAAGCTCCAACCACCCTTTGGTAGAAGGGCCTGGAATCACCAACAATCACAACCTACAAAGAAACTAAAAACACTTGTTAGGGTGAAGAAAGCCACACAAACACTTTGAAATTCAAACACAAATAATTTTAGAACACGACCCATACTTTGCTTACCCACACAAACACACGATATCATATCACAAATTTGAGTTTTAAGAGTCAAACAGCTGACATAACAGGAAGAAATCAACACCATTTTCAGTTGTGTTAACATCAAATTATAAATTTCAGCTTCTGAAGTGAGTTGACGTTGACCAAATTCCTAGCATACAAGTCATGAGGGTTTTGAAAATAACATGTTTGTTAGATACGGAGAGTAAAAAAAAAGAGACATTGAAGAGTGACATACGGAGAGTCGACCATCGGGCTCAAACTGGTGTTGGCGACAAACAGAGTCCGAGGTTTCGAACCACAACAGGGAGGCTTTACCCTCTTTCTTCTCCTGTGTTTTCAATAATTAATTTGAAGTTTGAACCCACATAAATAAGCCACATAATAACGAACGAAAAGAGAGAGAATGGGTGCAGAACAGAACACCATATCCATGGAGAATTAACGAATTGCTTCGCCGGCTACCCCAAAAAGCCTCCGCTACGCTATTTCCAGAGCTTAATTTTCCATCGGCGTTTTAATTACTAAATGTTGTGTTTACGACAGAGTAAAGGGTCATGTTTAACTATAATAATCACTCACCAAAATGTTTAGCCATAATTAAGTAAGTTTATCAATTTTTGATTTTGATTATTTCAAAAATCATATCCAATTATTGCTTCTAATTGACTGATAATGTAATTTTTTTCATTTCTGGTACTAGCTAGAATGTTTATTTCTATGAAATTAAAACATAGAAAATTAATCCTTTTAATTGTATAACCATATTTTAGATTTATAATCAAAACTCCAATTTCAATTTAAATATGGGAGTTCTAACTTAAAAAAAGATTATTATTTTGTGAATGACAACTTAAGAACAAAATGTTTTACTCAATAAGGATAAATTCTACCCATTTTTGCGTGTATTAGAAAATAAATTACTACTGCGACACTTTTAGCGAAAAATATTTATATGTTAGCAAATTTTATTTATTTAACCTTTTAATTTAAAAAGCTTTTACGATAATAATTACGCACAAAGTACATTCAAAATTTAATAAATGTTTATCATTATAAAAGGCTTTCACAATAATACATAATAATACTAAATATTTATCAACGAATCTTTTAAAACTTGCATACTAACTAAACACAAATATATAATAAAAAAGATACTGAACTTTATTTCTAATCATAAAAGAACAGAGTAATTGTTTGATAAAAATAAGTGACTACTTAAAAATTATAATTTGAGTAGTAATCTCATTATAAGAAAGTGGCAGAAAAAACCATAGTTAACGCTCATATTTTTAAATAATAAAATACAAATAAATATATTTTAA